ATTTCAGCAATTAAAACATTGTGCTACTTCCTCTGACCTCCATTGTTTCTGATGAGAAATCTGCTGTCATGCAAAAAACTTTTTTTCCCATTAGGTAAGGTGTTTTTTCTCACTCCTTTTAAGATTTTCTTTTGTTATTTTTCATTTTATAATAATATATCTTCATGCAGATTTGTTTGTGTTCTTCTGGTTTATGTAACTACTACTACTATTACTACTACTACTACTACTAGTACTATTACTTTCTCCTCCTCCTCCTCTTCCTCTTTTTCTTCTTCTTCTCCTCTTCCTCCTGGGGATTGACCTCAGGGGTACTCAACCACTGAGCCACATCCCCAGCCCTATTTTGTATTTTTATTTAGAGACAGGGTCTCACTGAATTCCTTAGCACCTTGCTTTTGCTGAGGCTGGCTTTGAACTTGCATATTCCTGCCTCAGCCTCCAGAGCTGCTGGGATTACAGATGTCTTGAATCTGAAGTGTTCTATCTTTTGCCAAATTTGAGAGATTTCCCAATCGTTATTTCTTTGAATACTTTTTAGCCCATTCATTTTCTCCTCTCTTTCTGGGGACACATGATATGAACGTGATATCTTTTGCTATAGTTTCTAAGGTCCTTGAGGCTCCATTCATTCTATTTTATTATGCATTTCAAAATGAGTGATTTTATTTAGTTTTAGTCTGTTTTTGGATCAGGTGAGTTTTGTTATTCTACCTTTAAAATCAATAATTGAGTTATTCCTCTATCCTTTCCATTCTACAGTATGTCCCATTCATTTTATTTTAAATTTCAATTATTTTTTAGTTTTAAAATTTCCCTTTCATGTGTGTGTGTGTGTGTGTGTGTTTTAGTTTTGTTCTAGAACTGGAAATCCCAGAAATACATTTTTTGTATTAAAGAAAGATATTATCTTAATTCTGCCCTTTGAAGCTATACGATATAATTATTATATAATATATGCATATAATTATACAATTATTTACACACTAATTGTCCTGGTAGTTTAAAATTATTTTCTATGTAATTTACATTGATTATGTAATTTTTATAGCAACAATAATTTTTATTCATACTATAAGTGTTTATTCAGTGCCTATCATATATGACATCTTTTTTAAAGGTCAATCAGATGGTTTTGCTTTAGCTACAAATGGTTATGCAGTTTGTTTATTTACAGAGAAAATAACCACATTTTTGCCTTTTTAGTAGGTCACAAGCATAAGTGGGAGAAGAAAGATTGTGAGCTGAGTTCTTTAACCTTCATATAAATGATACAGAGTTTGATTTACAGGCTTATCCTGCTTTTCTCTCTATTTCACTGATTTATCAATGCCTTGTTGTGGAACAATACACATTTTGAAAAGGCAACAGATTTCCTGAGATAAAAATACTCTGAGTTTTTAAAAAAATATTTTTTTTAGTTGTAGTTTGACACAATACCTTTATTTTATTTATTTTTATGAGGTGCTGAGGATTGAACCCAGGGCTTTCTACGTGCTAGGCAAGAGCTCTACCACTGAGCCACCATCCTAGCCCTGACTCTCAGCTTTTTGAGTGGCCACCCAGGAAGGAGCATAAGTATCCTCTGGGCTGGTCATCTTCATTTACTTCAGTGTGTTGTACTAAAATTCGGATTATTTGTACCAGGAAAAGGTTGAGAGGCACTTCTCTGATTTCATAGGTTAAAGAATGAGGTTCATATACAAATTGTATTTTGTATAAGTTTGTATATGTTTTGTATATGTTAGTATATGTTAGTATATGTTTATATATGTTCGATAATATAGTTTCATTCTCCTTCACAAAGAAACTTTTAATTGTCTCCAGTGGCTCTCAATCTTTATTGAGGTCATCATTTGGAAGCCTTGTTAAAACATAGATTGCTCAGCCCCACTAATAGTTTCTGATTCATTGGGGTGATGGTCAATAATTTGCTTTTCTAGAATGTTTCCAGATGATGCTGATGATGCTACTTTGGGGATTTTACTTTGAGAACTGTACATCCACATAGAAATCTTCTACTTCCTCATTTCCTTTGGTTCCTCAATTATTTCAGTCTGATTTTAATTTTTATCATTTTATCTAACCATTCTTTATAACATCTGCCCTAATCTTCATGTTGCAAAATCTAATGCAGACTTTCATTTCCTCATCTTATCTGATGTGTTGAAACCTATCAATATTGTCAATTTCTCTTTCCTTTTAGGAAACTCTTCTTTTTGGTTTGGAGACTTTTCTTCATCTCCTTCCTTTCCCCCTTTCATTCTCTACATGCTCTTTTTCAATTTAATATTTTCTTAAATCAAACTGTAAGTTTTGGAGTTAGTCTGGGTATTCTTCACACATTCTTTTACTTTCTATTCCTAAATGGTCTCAATCCTGTCTATAAGATAATAATTTTCAGTTTATGTGTCTCAAGATTAAAACTGCTTTCTAAGGTTTATTATAGCTTGATTAATTGCTTTCTACATGCCTACTTGAATACTTATGAACATTTCAATTATATACCCAGAATGAAATATTGTAGTTATGCATTTTAGTATCTTGAAATTTATAAGCCTTACTGTAAGTTTCAATGAAATAGAGTAATCCCTCCTTCCTTTTCCCTAACAAAAAGTGCTGTTCTTTATGTTCTCCATCTCATAAATTCTCTTTTCTTTGACTCAGTTGTTAATGTTCAGAAACCTGTGAGTGAATCTTGATTAAAAAAAAGAATACACACACACATATAGTATATATTAGTTGTAGATGGACACAATACCTTTATTTTATTTATTTGTTTTATGTGATGCTGAGGATTGAACCCGGTGCCTCACACTTGCTAGGCAAGTGCTCTACCACTTCAGCCCCTCTTCAATCTTTTTTAGCATTGTATTTCTACCCCCAAATTCCTCAATACCCTCTCATTTTTTGTTTATCTTTTAACCATGTGTATTGCCATCACCTTTGTTCAGGTTATAATCATGTTTCCCAGGGACCACTGCAAATGCCTTTTAACTTTTGGTTTCTTCCATTCTAGTCTCTATACAGTACTTAGAATTACCCTTAAAAAATAATATATATATATATATATATGTATATGTTAGTATATATATGTATATATATATATATGTTAGTATATGTTTATATATGTTATATATATATATACACACACACACACACCATTCACATTTAATGTAATTTTTTTTTAACTGGAGATTGAACTCAGGGGTACTAAACCACTGAGCCACATCTGCAACCCTATTTTGTATTTTATTTAGAAGCAGGGTCTCACTGAATTGCTTAGTGCCTCGCTTTTGCTGAGGCTGGCTTTGAAGTTGAAAACCTCCTTCCTCAGCCTCCTGAACTGTTGGGATTACAGACATGCACCTCCATGCCTGGTTTGTAACTTTTTAAAAATGGAGTATAACTTCTCATTCTTCTAGTTGTAAATGATGTGGAATTATACTGGTCATGTAGTCATATATGCACATAGGGTAATAGTGTCCAATTCATTCTACTATCCTTCTTACCTCCATACCCTTTAAAGCGTAAATCAGATCATGTCACAATTTTGCTTAAAATCCTTCGATGATTGAAATTTATAATCTTTAACATGGCATAGAAGTACCTATCTAAGCTGTTAAGTGCAGCCTTACTAGTTTTATTTAGCATGATATTCTTCCTCTCATTCTTTTTGGTTTAGGCACACTGATGTTTCTTCCTTTCTTTTGCAGTAGCTTATGTTAGTTTTTCCTTGAATGCTCTTTCCTCCATTTTTCATCTATTTCCTTACATCCATTAGGTCACATCTTTCTGTTCTCATCCTAAACTTGTTTACATTAGAGGTGTTTTGTAACTCCAGAGTATCAATTAGATCTTATTATACCTTCACATATGATTTTGTTTTTTTCCTATTTGAACTGATGATTTATTGTGTTTAAATGTTTTGTAAGCATGTTTCTTTGTTTTACCCCTCACACTAGAGTTCAGCACAATAAATAGAAAGTGAAGGCAGTAAATATTTTTAAATAAATCAAAGTATAACTAAAGTTTACAAACATATGTTTATATACAGCCTTAAAAGAAGTTCTTTCAAATATGACAAATAAGAAACACATTACATTTGTAAAATGAATTTTCATTTTTAGTTGCCAGTTACATAAATTATCTGAAAAAATTATTTTTTTAAAAATTTACTTTTTACAAGGATACAATTTCTGAAAAAAGTTGATGAGTTATTTCAAAGTAATATTAAGTAATTCATGATATTTAAGTAGTTTATTTCATTTTAACTATTATAAATTTAATCTTTTGTGTAACCAATTTTTTAAACACTCAAATTTTTGAGGAGGTTTCACCGTTATATAGAATATGATACTACATTCAAGGAACAAGATTTAATTATTTGGCTTTTGAAATGGTAGTTATTGGCAAACCACCGTTTAATTTTTTTTAATGATCATTAGTCTTTGGAGAATAAACTCATGTCTTTAGGTCAGTATGGGGGAAAATAGCATAAGAAACAGATATAGCCAAGAGTGTCTTTTTCAGAATATCCATTTTTTTTGTTTTGTTTCTATTCTTGTTTATTATTAGCCTTTTTTTCTTCTTGCGGGGCTTTGTTTTGTAGGGTCTGTCCAGAGTACATAAACTTTGTATTCTGCATTCTATAAATTTTATTCACTTGGAAACTTAGCTTTCTCTTGGTATATGTAATGAGTGCTAAAGTTCCTGAAACCAGACAGGATCACACAGATTAATATGTTTATAATRTCTCTGTCCTTTTTTTCGCCGTCTCCTTTACTGCACTCTTATCTGTCTGACTCTCACAGGAGACATGGATTACAACTGGTTGGACCATACGTCTTGGCATAGCAGTGAGGCTTCCCCAATGTCTTTGGTGAGACATGTGGAGCCTTACTATTTAATTTCCGTTATCATTTCACTTTTCCTTTTTATTTATACCTTTGCATGTTTTCTTTTTTGTATTTTTTTTTTTTTTTATCCCATACCTGTAGGGGACAGTCAAAAGGGAAAAAGAAAAACTAGTGAGCAGGCAGTTTTGTCGGACTCTAACACCAGGTCTGAGAGACAAAAGAAAATGATGTACTTTGGTGGCCACTCTTTGGAAGAGGATTTGGAATGGTCTGAACCTCAGATTAAGGACTCTGGGGTAGATACCTGTAGTAGCACAACCCTTAACGAGGAGCATAGCCATAGTGATAAGGTACTGAGATTGTGGAGCCTGCCTTTTAACCTGCTCATTTGGTCTTCGTTTGCTCTCTGTCACTCATTAAAACAGAACATACTAAAAGGACAGGGCATTTCAAGGGTCAATGTAGCATTTCTTAAGGTGCAGAAAAGAAAAACAAAATAAAACCAAACAAACCAACCAAAAAAAACCTCTTGCTTGCTTTGCTGTTTTTATTGTTTGACAGCATACCAAAAAATAAGTAACTGAAAATAAAACTTAGGAACAAAGGAATGGTTTGTCTATGGTCGCATGAGAGAATTTTGTAATGTTATAATAAGCCACAAATAATGAACAATTGTTTGGATTGGCTTATTTAATTGCTTCTATATATTTTCCTTGGGATGAAAATTAAATTTTAATAGTTTGAATCCCAGGCAAAAGGCAGATAATTGGGTCTATTTGCACAGAAAAAGTTGTTTTTCTTTTTTCCCTTTCACTGTCATTTTGCTCTTTTGTTTTATCAATACAGCATTTTAATGTATTATTAATTAGTATTAGAGCCATTGCCATCTGCTTTGATATTTATTATTTTTGCTTTTAGTATAGTGAAACTTTTGAAATCTTTTACCATATAGATGTGATTGAATGGAACTTGTGTTTTGCCTGCTAAATTTTGCATGAAGATATGCATGCTATTTTAGGTGACTGTGAAAATACTATGATTACACAAATCATTTACTTTGATATTTACCCTGTCATTCATAATGAACTGGATCATTATTTGTAGAGGCCTTAGTTCTGCATTGAGAGAAATAAACTACTAATGTTTTCAAGGTTACTTAGCAATGGATACCATTGAATTATCTACTAAAGGTAATTTACTAGATAGGCCAAAGACTTGAAAGAATCAGTGAACTTCCATGAAGTGAGAAATACAATCTTTGAATGAAGGCTGTTTCTCTTATGCAAAATCAAATCAGTTGGAAAGTTATTGGAGCTTGTGTATTTTTTAAGAATTTTAATCAAGAAGCTTATTCAAGAAAACCTTTATTATGGCTTTAGATTTTATGTTTTAATAAGATATAAACTTTTAATTTTATTGTAATACAGTCTTTTAAAATCTGTTTCAAAAGTGTTTTAAGAAGAAATTCTCATTTTTAAATGGATTCAACTGCATAAAATTTCAGCCTGTTAATTTTTAGTTAATCTTCAGCATATAGAAATGTTAAAGATTTTAAAAGTTTTTCCACATTTTGTAGAGCTATATTACTTCAGTATTGTTTCAGAGAACCTTAAGAATTCAGCAAAATTGAATTTTGCAAAAAAATCTCTATTACAAAATTGAGATTGCAAGGGTAAGATAGTAAACTTTTCTCGTCGGTTTTGGAATGTAAATTGGTTTGTGTAATCATAAAGGGTTAGAGTTCTGAACTTAGATTGTACAATTAGAGATAATTTGTTATAAAAGAACATTAATTTTTCTTATTTGTTGATGCAATATGTCAGCATCCTGTGACCTGGCAACCATCTAAAGATGGAGATCGCCTAATTGGTCGTATTTTATTAAATAAGCGACTAAAAGATGGAAGTGTACCTCGAGACTCAGGAGCAATGCTTGGTTTAAAGGTATGTAATAAAATGTGTGAGATTTTGGCTCTATACTCCTTTACAGATTTATCAGGAAAAATATAATAACTTTCAATCCATACAAATTTAAGGGAGTTCCCCCCATACACATTTTCAAGATTCCTCAAATACTGTCACTCATTATCCCAAAGTTTTTATTTTCCAAGTATTATTTAAGAAGTTGCAATTATTCCACAATAATACTCATGTATATAATTTTGAAAGACAATGATACTATCTGATTAGAATAAATTTGAGTCTTACATACAATGATCAAACTTATTTTACCTTTACATTTTGCTCTTTAAGTCTATATCTGTGTTTATCTTATATTAAAATGATAATTTTATTTAGGTACTCTATATACAGAATAGGGAAATGTAATATGTATAGTATTCAGGAATATGATTTTGTATTAATGTAGTAAAGTTATGTGCATGTGTATGTGTGTTTATGAGAGAATCCTGTTGAAAGTCTGGAAGCACAAAAATAATTATGTTAGGAAATTAAATATGAGTATTGCTTTATATTTGACTGTTAAATAGCAGGGAATTACTTGGTAAATGAATAAGCAATTTGATTTTATGCATCTAATATAGACAATTAAAAGCTGAAATGAAACCCAAGTAAATTTTTAGAGTTAAGCCATTACTGTAGAAGTTGTACTATAGAATATAAATAATAACAGATACTAGAAAAATTTGGATATAGGTGGAATTGGGCAAGTTACATTTATGGGTGGCTGCTGTGTGACTGGCATTCATCTGAGCATTTAACATCTGTCAGCTAATTCAGCACTTAGAACAGATGAGAAACAAGCTTATAGAGGTGTCATAATTTATCTATGATCACAAGATGATGACAATGGTGGGATTTAAATCCCCATCTGCCCAGTATAGTGTTAGAGCAGTGTGGTATAGAGGTTAGGCAGTCTTGGCTTAAATTTCAGTGATAGCAGTTGCTAGCTACATAATATTGGCAATTACTCTTAGTCTTAGATTCCTCATTTTTCCAGTGCTGATAATGCTATTTATTAGATTGTTAAAATAAAATTTATTGAAGCAGTATGTAAGCATTTAGTACAGTATCTGACATACCATAAGATTTCAATAATACTACTAATAATAACTGTAGATAGCATAATTAATTATTACTGTTAAAGTTTGATAAGTCAAATTTTTAAAAAAATTTACATGAGTTTGTAAGCCCACAAGACATCTATATTTAATTTTGAAATATAGGACTAAATAAGTATTAACTGAATTGCAGCTGACTGTAATTATGGAATAAATACATGGAATAAAATAAATCAGTGAGTTTTAAATTTAAATATCTTTCACCCAATAATGAAGAGAAAAAACTATTTAGTTGTTGACTTTTGTTAGTTTCATTTGCTTTATCTGCTATGAAGTTAATATATTGGTTAAATGGCAGTTGATGAGAAGCAAAACATTAATTTTGTAAGAGGCCAGCTAGTATCTTACAGGTACACTTATGCTTCCATAGCATTATTCTTAACATTTTTAGAAAAAGTGGGCTGCAAATGGTCTGCAAGTTTACATTGCTTTTGATAAAATTAAGTATACCTTGTTATTTTCCCAAGAAAGATCCATCATCATTATTTACATAATCATCATGCCTAAATACGTACTAATGAAAATTTTGTAGCAGATCATAATCAAGTAAAAGTAACAATATATGTATTGTAATATTTTAAATTTATAAAAAGAAATTTTAATATAATTATATAGTACTATGACAACATGTTTTGAGAAATTACAAAAGTAAGAATTATCATAAGGACAAAACTTGTAAATGGTTGTTATTTTTAAAGGTATATGACATTTTAACAGATAATAAATTAAATTGTAGCATATTTGGAGTATGTAAAAGGAGTTAGTTCTTAGGGAATATTTTAACTTCCTAATAGCAATGCTGAATTATTTAAGAAATTATTTTCAACACATTAAATTTGTTATAGAAGCTGCAAATTGTTCCAAATATTTTTAACTTGAATTTTCAAGTATGTTCACTTTAACAATATGACAACTTTAGTGCGTTCCTCTTTTAAACAGGTTGTAGGAGGAAAGATGACTGAATCAGGTCGGCTCTGTGCATTTATTACCAAAGTCAAAAAAGGAAGTTTAGCTGATACTGTAGGACATCTTAGACCAGGTACGTTTCTTCTATTGGTTATTTATATTTAAAATATTAAATCTTCACTGGGCACAGTGGTGCCCACCTGTATTTCCAGCTACTCAGTTGATTGAGGCAAGAGAATTGCAAGTTCAAGGCCAGTCTCAGCAACTTAATGTTTCAAAATAAAAAATAATAATAAAAGGGGAGAGGGGCTGGGGATGTGGCTCAGTGGTAGCAAATCACTCTGTTCAATCTCCAGTATCACCAAAAAAAAAAAAAAGAGTTCATTATGAATAGTTAAGAAAAAGTTGTCCTCATTTAGAACTGATTTGACCAATGAGAAAGGGCTCATTTCACTTAGATATACAGCTTTACTAATGAATGGAAAGTTTAATCTAATATGATTCAAAAAAGAATTTTTATGTTTACTGATTTTTTTTTGCTGGTGGATATTCTAATCAATATGTAATAATAATTTATTTTGTTTCCCATAGCCTGATTTTTCTCTGGAAAAAAATTCCAACTTAGTTTGGAAAACTAGTTCATAGATAAATGCTTTGTTTTCTAAAATGTGTTACTATATGTCACTTCATACTCTTGGAGAAATCCTTGAGTGCCTTAAAGAGGATTTGATAAAATGGTAATTATTAAGATTTTTACAAAAGAGTTTCAACAAGGGAAACCCATTAAAGAAAACAGAGAACTTGATTATGTGAACTCGAGCGTGTGTGTGTGCACACACACACAGTATAGAGTCATAAAACCTTTAAAGAGACAATTGATTTTGATTGTTGTCGACAATTAAAATTTCCATAACAAATAAAAAAATGATAACTTTTGTGTACTTTTTTTCCTTCTGACTATATCCTTTTGGTGAAGTATATTAACATGACTGTTAAATTTTATGCCATTGGGATTATTTTTAGTGTGGGTTTTATTCCACAGTGCTGATTTTATTCTGTAGTGTTCATTGAACTTTAAAGGTTGATTTTGTTTTGAGTACTTTTTTGGGGCTTAGGTTTTTTTTTTCTGAGATTATTATTACTGATACTGTAGGTGATGAAGTATTAGAATGGAATGGAAGGTTATTGCAAGGAGCAACATTTGAGGAAGTATACAACATCATTTTAGAATCCAAACCTGAACCACAAGTGGAGCTTGTTGTTTCTCGGCCTATTGGGTAAGTTGGTTTCAGTACTTGACTTTGTGTAGACTACTGTTAGGTAATTCATATTGTACCAATGCAAAATGTCATTCTGCTTTATGAAAATAAATTATTTCTAAGACAATCACTTTTCCTTTTCTTTGCCAAAGACATCTCAGTAAAAATCATCACTTCATCTGATTGTGATAGACTATACAGTTTATTACAAAAGAAAAAAAATAAATGTTGTGTTAGTTGGCTTTTTATAACTGATCAAAATACCCAACAAGAACAACTTAGTTTATTTTGGCTCACAGTTTCAGATGTTCAGTCCATTGCCTGCCAAATTACTTTGGGTCCAAAGTGAGGCAGAACATCCAAGGCAGCAGGGCATGGAGGGAGGAGTGCTATCTGCTCCTGGTGGCCAGGAAACAGAGAGAAAGGGAGAGAGGGAGGGAAAGGGACTTCAGGAAAGATGAACCCTTTTAGGGCACTTCCTCTGGTAACCAACCTGCTTTAGCCACACCCTCCTTGTCTATTCTTACCAGTAGTTAGTGTATTCAAATTGGGATGAAGTAATTAGGTTACAGCTCTCATAATTGTACCTCTGAATGTTTTGCATTAGCATAGGAGCTCTTGAGGGTACACCTCATACTCAAACCATTACAGATGCCTTTTATTTTGATTATCTTAGCAACTAAATGGATGTCTATATTCATTTATAAGAGAAGTAGACTATGGTAACAATTTTTAAGGTTAAGTTTCACAACTATAGTTTTCTACACTGTAAAAATGACAATCTATAGTCTAGAAATTTTAAATATATATTTTTTTCAAAATGCAGATTTCAATCCAGGAAAAAAAAATAACTAAGGGGGATATAATTCTCAGATGCAGGAACATGTTTAAGGAAAACACTCTCTTTAAGGAATGGTGATTAAAAGAACTGAAAATAGACAAATATCAAAGTATTCTTTGATATGTAATTTATTGCCTATGGATTAAATAGGCGATTTCCAAAAGTTGTCAATAAATATCATTCTTCAACTAGAATTATAAGAATTTCTCATTAAATATCACAACATTATTACCTCTGGAGAAGCTTATATTCTAGGCAAATGTAAAAGATTRTACCTCTGGCATATGTATGTCAAAATAAAAGCAATAGAATATTATATAAAATGACAGTGAATTATTAAATGCATATTTGGGAGAGAGCAATCCAGAGTGGAGGCTACAGAAATTCTTTTGTTGTAGAACATGAGTGCCCCATTTTTACTCATTTAGGAAATGGTTGGACTGTATTATTTTGATCTCTTTCTATGATAGAGAAAATGATTTAGATTGGTAACTTAGTTTTATTGAAATGTTCCTTTCAAAGTAATGAATTTAGCACATGAAATTGTACCTATTTTTTATTTGTCCATACATAGTTTTTTAATGTGGTAAAATTGCAGTTATTTGCTTAGTGCATTAATCAAATATATTTCTTGGTGTTAAAGTGCTCTTAAATAATATTTTTGTTAAATGTTCAAATAATTTATTCTTTTTATTCTGATATATAATCTTCCCATCAATAAGTATATGCATTTTTAGTGTGCTTATACTGAAAAGGTAACTTTGAATGTCCCAGTAAGAAACATGTTTGCCATTATTACATTTATTTTTTAACTACAATCTGAATATCTAATTTTTGTTTTGGTGATATTTTTAGCTTCAATGTTATTGATTTAGACAGAAGGTAAAAATAAAGACTAGAATAGAATTAAAATGTATCTGTGAAACTTACCTTGTTGAATACAACAGTTTTTTAGAGTGAGTAATTTATGTAGTGAGTCACAAAGAAGATAACAGATAGGTTTTTATAAATCTACAAAGGCATATGCATTTTTTTTTATTGTTGGTCGTTCAAAACATTACATAGTTCCTCATACATCATATTTCACAGTTTGATTCAAATGAGTTATGAACTCCCAATTTTATCCCGTATACAGATTGCTGCATCACATCAGTT